GTCAGTTTGAATGGCAGTAAAATGTTTTAGTGGTCCGATCTGAAAAACTTCTTTGAAGCTCGTAGCGTTGCCTTGAAGAATAGTCTATGCCAAACTTCGTGAAGATATTATGTCAACTAAAAAGTTATCCATACACTTTCTAGATTATGCTATAGTGGTACTATATCAGCGGTGATTCACAATTGTGAATATTCTTGGGGAGAAAAGGACGTGTACGAAATTTTCGATCGATATCTCAAAAACTATATACAGACAGAGAGACGGACAGACAGATGGTCTTGGCTAAGACAACTCAGCTTGTCACGCTGATCATTTACACATACATGAGTATGTATAATTGATAGCGTCTCCGACGGTTCCTGTTCAGGGTATTAAAATTACGCCTATCACCAGTGATCATCGTTGTATAGTTTTTGTTGTTGCAATCGATAAATGTAATGCATGTCAAATCAGATTAGCATATAGCTAAGAACAAAGAGCGATAACCTCATTCAATGCTTTTCTAATACATTGCTTCCTATCTTAATGAAAGCACACACCTACATTCAACCACAAATATGTGCATATACATACATATCTATTTGTATGCATTACAAGTTAACTGTCACGATAATTATTCGAATCAGGCGATATGTCAATGGAAAAAAGTAGGAATGCTCCAAACGCTATAAGATTATATATTATTCAATAAACGTATGTACATACAGACATATGTAGGTAGGTATGTATGTGTGTGTACTGCAATAATAATTTTTTACATTGCGATGATAAGCTCAAGCGTTATCAGCTAACCGACAGCGCACCTGGGAATATGTAAGTGTGTATGAATATGCCTTTGCCTTACTTGCGTTTACAATAAGTTGGGATGAGGTAGTAAACGGTGAACCACTAGCAAATTCCTAATTTTTTCCTTTTGTATAAGTACATATTATGTAGATATGTACGTCTTTGCTAGTCAAATTTGTGCTTCACCCTCTGATAGTTCAATCCTCTAATTGAATTTATTATACTCGATAACGGGGAAAAAAAAAACAATGACAGCTGATTGCACTTAATCACCACTCTCACCTAGCCGTCTGACTCATTTTCCTACAATGCGATGATACGAACATACATACATGCTCGAAATTTGCGCGGTCGCACAGTGGGCGATTTGATGGACTTAGCGTAACGAAAAACAAATTTTGAACTGAATCTAGTAAAATTTGATTCGGCTCCGATTCCTAAATATTCATTTGTGAAATCGATTGCGTCAAAACCGATTAAGTCGATATCAGTAAGCGACTCTGTTCTTCCGAACACATGCTTACTTAGCACCACGTCGTCTCTAAAGCTACCGTGCATACTTTGATAATTTTGGTTTTGGCGAAATAATATTTTAAATTAACGTTTTGCTCCTAGTTTTTTGCAAGGCTTGGGTAATACTAATGGCGGAACTATAGCACGTCGATTTTTTGAAAATTCTGTTGTATCTGCTAGAATTACTGGTGTGAGCCATGAATTTATAAAACGACTTGGAATCATTTTCCATAAACATCGAAAGCCGCGAATACGCATTAGAAACCGCAAAAATTTTCATCAGAGAATATCCATGGTTCTATATGCTTAATACACAGAATTTTTAAACATGGAGCTAATATCATAGAAAGTGTACCACTTCCGATTGGCATGATGTCCGAAGAAGCATTGGAAACTAGAAATAAAGATTTGAGAAACTTCCGGTTTAATCTTACTCTTATCTTAAAAATACAAGGGAGAATCTAATGAATTCATTGTTAATCTCTTCGGGTTCATTCATAACAAGTTTCTGGCAAAGCCTCTTTATTTGATAGGGAAGCTCAAAATCTGAAATCTGAACATTCCTGAAGAGTCTGAAAACTCCGATTTGGACAAAGAAAATTAAATCAAAATTATTGTTATTTTCTCCTATCAAACCAAAAAAAAAAACAAAAAAAAAAAATTAAATTAAAAACAAAATTGTTTGAAAAGAAAACATTTTCACTTTGTACCTTTCGAAGCTTGTCAAATCGACCACTGTGGACCGCTTCGAAAAATAATAGACTCAGCGTATGTACATACATATACATATGTATATATATGTGTGTAGATACAGATAGTGTAATCATGGCCTCTGTTATCAAACTGCCCTAATAATTAAAGACCAGATATTTATTTAAAAAATTATAAAATATAATTTTAATAAATGTTATTATTGTTTTTTAATTACCATTTAAAAAAAAATCAAAAATAGGGATCACCGTCTTATCAGTTTTAAGATTAATTTCTTGATTAAAATAATAAATATAATCATTTAAAAATATATGCTTTAAGATATCGTTTTCGTAGTAAAAAACCGAAATATTTATACTCTCGTAACATGTTGTGCCATAGTATTATAGTTTTGGTTATAGTAGTATAGTAACGGTTGTTTGTAACACCTGAAACTAATCGAGATTGATATGAACACATCTTCCTTGGTATCCAAAAAATATTGGTATTGCAGATGCGCGGAATAGGACTATTGTCACGCCCAAAAAAATGTCATTATTCGAAAACTTATAAGTGGGCATGACCCCGCCCCCTAATAGGTTTAATGTGCTTATCTCACAAACCATACAAACTAAATTAACCAACTTGCTTAGGAGGAATTCCCTAGACACCTCCTCAAACAGTGTGAAAATGAGTGAAATCGGAAGATAACCACGCCCACTCTTCATATAACGGTTATGTTGAAAGCTGCTTAAAATGTGATAACACGGAATATTAATACGCAAAAGCATAAACTTTTACAGCTAAGATTGCACTTAAGGTTGTTAAGAGAAATGTAAAAGTAAATGTCAAAATGGGAAATGGGAAATGGGCGTGACACCCAATCTAAAACCAAAATATTCATTGCTTCGGTTTGCTCGCGTAGTTTATATGGAGCAGCCCAGGTTAAATTTGATCTAGAGTATACACTCTCATGTATTTATGTATTTTTTCTTTAGAAGAAAATAATTCATATCCCTTTAAAAATGAACTAGGTGTTCATAACGTGTCACCCATTAGAAAGTATATAGTCAATGGTATATAAAATTTAATTATCTCTTTGAAAGGTTTTCGATTTGATCAGCCCAGCTTCAATCAAATTACTTACGAAGTCATATATAACCATTCTATGTTTAAGTCACATTAAACTAAAAAAAAACAAAATAATAAGTAACAGATTTTTAATTGAACAAAATAACTGCGCTTGTGGTTACATATGTACGAGTATATTCTCGATTAAACATGCGAAACTGGCTCTTTTTATTGCTTTACATACAAGTATTTTATTTTTACAAGCTGAGCAGTTAGTAATACTCAGTAGGCGCATTTGGTAATTCCGCAAGTCACTTCCTATACATTGTATTTTGAACGTTAAAATAGGTTATGTATGCACATACATATGTGTGTCTGTGATTATAAGTTTATTCCGTTTTAAACATTTTTCTTAGCGGTTAAGTTTAGGAATTTAGATCTTCTTCATTTAATTTAAAATTTTTTAAAAGAAATCTCCAAATGTTATAACCTCTTTTTATATCATATTTATATTTGCATTTACATAACACTCTTTCACAAAGTTATACATGTCCATATATGTATGTATGCTTATACAGACATATGCGTGGATGTATATATGTACGATGATTATACAAAATAGTCTGCTGATTTCGCATGCTTATAAAATATAGATATGTTTGTAGATATATACACGAAAATATAGTTGTTTAGTTTTTGTCTATCATTTGGTTTTAATTTAAATTATTACAGCTTTTTTCCTTGTTGCCAATTTTCGCGCAAACTCTTTTCGGTGTCATACCTTAGTTTGTGTTGGCATACAAACATACAAACGTATATGAGTATGGTCAACGCAAGTTTTGTTTGATATTATCGTATATTGGTTTAGAACAGAAAACGACTTCCTACAATTTTATTATAATTGCCTTATCGATCGAATATTGATCTTTTTCAAAAAATTGTTTTTCTTCTTCTGCGTTTGAAATCTTTTGTTTTCCATCGTTTTTGTTCTATTTTGGTAAAATGTCAGTTTAATTTCGAACATATGTCACTTTTCATTGAAACTCCCACCCTAGTTTAGCATGCACGCACTCATACTCATTTCATATGTAAATGCGTGTGGTAGGTATGAAATCAAATGAGTTCATTTTCGGTTATATTCGAATTAATTTTTTTTGGGAAGCCGATATTTCTGGAAATTTACATTTTATTTTATTTATTTATTGAAAAAATCACAAAAACAACGCTGACTTCCAAGTGGAGCTTGTATGCTGAAATTAGCAGTAAGAATAATATCTAGTTGTTGACTGAAATGTTTCAGCATATTGAAAAATTATTTTCGAATATGAATTTCATAAATTTTGAAAATTAGAATTTTTTATTTAATTTTTACTTTCTATTATTTTTATTATTTGTTAATTTATATATTTTATTTATTTTTATATATATTTTTGATTGCATAGTTCACAGATTCCAACTTACATAAAAAGTATATGCCACTCTGTCATACCCTTTAATAATTGTTTTTAAACCTTTCCAACATTGCAACTAATAATTATTTTTTAATTGCTTAAAAAACTTGTTATCAACATTATTAATCTCAAATTTTACTTTCCTAATCTAAAATAGATTAGTAGCGTTGTGATTTGGTCAATAAACGCTTATCAGCCGCCAATTTGTATATTACTTGAAACAGTGCTGCCAGTAAAAAAAAAAATATTAAAATGTCTATAAATATATTACCTAGATAAAGCATTTGCTATATATTATATTATATTATATTATGTATATACCATATGTACATATATGTATCTTTTATGTATTATAATCTAATTTAGAAGTAAGCGAGTACCTTTTCTTATCTCTTTTTATTTATATTCCACACATTTTTAATCCATAATTTATTCTAAAAACTTAATTAATCATCTTTTGTTGTTGCACTTTCTTTTTTTCCATTACAGATTCCAACTACGCGGTCCATTAATTATCTGGAATACAATGCTCGCCATGTTCAGTATTATGGGCGCCTTTCGAACGGCACCAGAACTTCTGCATGTGCTGCGTCATTATGGACTTTTCCATTCCGTTTGCGTTCCTAGGTAAGTGCCAATGCGAATTAACTTCATGCTTGTTATCTTAAACTACACTTCTTTTATTTTACGTGCCCATTCACTTTGCTTATGCTCAAGTGGCAGCACAGGCGCTCGCCATGCAATCCGGTCATAATTCAATTCCTGAAATGATTCCACTGCTGTAATTCTTAACTTACTAGCTAGTTTAGCGACTTTCATTTTAAATACGGAAAATTTTCGCAATTCATCCTTGACAATCATTCCGTATCGGTCGTCTGCAATTTGTAGCTAATAAAAGCTGACCATAAAGTGCCTAACCAATGTGAACAGACGTTCTAGGCCTGCCGCTCAAGTCCATCCATATATGAATGTGTATGTTGGCCATGACAACTGCCTGACCTTGAGTTTGTTCATCATGACGCAGATTTGCGCGCGCAGTTTACTGTTACAGCTTCAACCGAGTCGAGCCTGCCACTCAGAGCAACTGTGATATTTCCAATTTGGAAACTGGTTTAGCAGCTTTTCTGCTGTGTTGTTTGTTTTCATTTTGATTTTGCTTTAATATTCCTTTATTTGAATTTACATTGTTGTGTATTTGCTTTTGCGTGATTACTGCTTTTACATCTGGTACTTACATATATACACATGCATTATAAGAATATTCTTTAGCGAGTGAGCCGAAAAAGTTGTTCTTAAAATTTTGATTTCTCGAAGCCGGACGCTGGATCGACACCTCACTCGCTTGTTTTGGTTTGATGAACTGTCTGTGCTGAACTCACATATGCAACAACATAAGTTTATTCACATATTAATGAGTTAATGGTTTTCTGCTTACTGCATTGGTTATTCATCCACTCGGGACTGTTCGTGTTATTTACTTTTTATTTTTGTCAGCTATAATATGTACATACAATTAGTACACATTAGCTAATTTTCACTTGCTTTGATCTTAGATATTTCGTTAATGTATTTCTTATATTGTGTTTACTGCCTTAAACAAAAGTACATACGATTTGGCCCTGTGATTCGCCAAGTTCTAAGAAATTCTACTGCTTTTTCCTGTTAAAGATTTATAAGCTTATACTCAGCGTAACCTCTATGAAGAAGGGCGGAGGTAATGTTCTATAACTCAGAGATTTTTCGAAAATTTTTACTAACTTTATAATTGTTCTCAACAAATATACCATAAAATATATTATATTATTTTCCAATACTTAGAGCCTATTTGATCTTCTGGAGCGGTTAAGGGTTGCTTTTTACGATACAAAAACGGACTGTATAAAAGGCGATTATTATAATCAGTTCACAAGTTTTACGAAAAGATATACTTGTAAACTAAATAACATAATGTTTGTTTGGTTTAATTTGTATGCCCTGAAGAGGGTATATTAAGTTGCCACGAAGTTTGTAACATCCAGAAGAAAACATCAGAGCCGTATAATGTATAAATATATGATCAGTTCGATCGGTTTGACCATGTCCATCTGAATGTTTGTATATACACGAAAAATCCCTCTGTTTTTGACATATCGATCTGAAGTCTTACACATTTCATTTTCTCTCCAAGAGGCTGCAACTTTCTCGGAATCGCCAATATCGGATTACTTAAGCACTAATCTGCCATACAAACTGACCGATCCAACTCAAGTTCTTGTATCGATACCTTCTTGATTTGACGAGATACCTTAACCAAATTTGGCATAGCTTATTGTCCAAAGTAAAGCTTCATTCTCCCAAAGTATTATTCAGATCGGACCACTACAGCATATAGCTGCCATATAAACTGACCGAACAACATAAAGAAACATATTTTTTTATATCCTGTTATATAATATTATATAAAAAATGCACCTGTGAAGGTGCAGCAGAAGTGAACGGTTTTCCTTGTTTTATTTTATTCATTTTTTTGCACTCTATCGCTCTGTTTTTCTAATCTACAATTATATTTATTAATTAGTAAATTTTTATAACCATAATTACAAATTAAATTAAATTTTTTTCCATTTCATTCACAGTTACATCGAACAAGATCGCGTTTGCGGTTTCTGGACTTGGTTGTTTGTGCTCTCCAAACTGCCCGAACTTGGCGATACAATATTCATTGTATTGCGAAAGCAGCCACTCATTTTCCTGCACTGGTACCACCACATCACTGTGCTCATCTACTCCTGGTTCTCGTACACCGAGTACACCTCCTCGGCGCGTTGGTTCATCGTCATGAACTACTGTGTACACTCGGTGATGTACTCGTACTACGCGCTAAAGGCGGCGCGCTTCAATCCACCACGCTTCATTGCCATGATCATCACGTCGCTGCAATTAACGCAAATGATTGTCGGCTGTGCGATCAATGTGTGGGCCAATGGCTTCCTCAAGACGCACGGACGTCAATCGTGCAACATCTCACAGAATAACATCAACCTATCGATTGCGATGTACTTTAGCTACTTCGTGCTCTTTGCGCGCTTCTTCTACAAGACATACTTGTCGCCGGCCGGCAAGAAGTCTCGCCGCATGGCAGCATCTTTGGCCGCGCAAAACACCGCCAAACTGTCATCGCCCAGCAGTGACATGTCGAAGTCGTCGCTACTGTCCGACAGCAGCAACGGTGCTCTGAACGGTAGCGCCGCTAACGGTGCTGCTGCGTTTCTGCACAAATCGAAGGTGCAGTAAACGGTGGCGGCGTCAGCGGTGTTGGCAAAGGTTATGTTGTATTTTTCTTGTTTTTGGTGGGGCGTTTTAGCGGGTGCCGAATGGTGAATGTAAGCGTTTGAAATGTATTTTTGAATTCGAGAGCAATGGATAAGTCAAAAGTCAGTAGTCAGTAGTGTGTGCGTTTTAGTTTTCTTTGATGAAAGTTCGGGTCAAAGCACATATATACATACATACATACGTGCATATGTAGTTGCAGCGAAAGAAACTACTAAGCGGTAAACAGGAAGGGGTGCGAGTGTGTGATGCAGCGAAATTTCAACAAAACAAGCCTGTATTCATTAAATTGTAAAAAAAAAAAACAAAAAAAAAAAAACAAATGATTAAACTGATAAAGAAAAAGAACAAATTTATAATGAATGAATTTTGAATATTTTTAATCCTATTTGTAATACGTGTATATGTGTGTGTATACAAGGAAAAAAGAAAAAACAAAAGAAGATATTTTTGAAAAACTGAAATTGTAAACTTCACTTGGTCTCTCAGTTAAACTAATATTTGTGATGAGCCATATGTGTACCCATCAATTTTTCTCGAGTTACATTAGGTATTTTGTATATTATATACATGCATGTGTTGCACACATTAAAATCAACTTAAACAAATGTTAAGCAGCAAGTTTTGCATAAAAACAATTACTTACAACAACAGTTCGTGCGTTTAAAAGTATATACTATGTAGTTATGTGTTTGTTTGCAGCAAAAACAAAAAAATTAAAACAAACACACTAAAGTCCTAAAAAATATTTATTGCCTGCAAGTTTCAATTAACCATTTAATCAATGATGTTTGTTGATACGCAAAAAAAGAAAAATATTTGCTATTTACTTTTTAAAAACACAGCGAAAATGATTATGTGTATATGTATATTAGCTCTTTCTCTCTCTCTCTCTCTTTCTCTCTCTTTTGCTCTTTATAAGTGCATTTTGTTTAGTTATTAATTAGCGTAATAATTAAAAAGGAAAGCTAACGTTAAAAGACAAGCGCTGAGGCACTAAAAATTAAAGTTTTTGTTTTCAATCCAAATTGTCATTGGCTCAGAAGCACAGCAATAAAAACCTGTAGCGGTTTTTTAACACATAAAATAACGAAACATATATCGCATTTCTGGAATTAAAGTCAATTTTTTGTGGCATTGCTGAAGTTGAGAAGTTTTTGGAAACACGTTACTGCTGTTTTAAACTTCAAATATAAACTAAAACTTAGCGACGCGCCTAAAAACATGCTATAAACGGAGTAATATGCATGACAATTGTTATAACAGTTGATTTTCGTGATATTGTGCCTATTTTAGGAAGATAACATATTTATTCCAATGCTTGGTGGTTTAAACTTTAGCGTAGAAGCAGTGCAGAAGCTCCCACAGACACATACTCGCTGAGTTCGCTTAAATAGTTGTGTTTTACTAAGAAAATAAAAAATATTTATTAATTCATTTAATATATTTAATTTTGTTTATTTAGACATTAACAAACTGTAAATGTGCATTTCTAATTCTTACTTGGCAAATGACTGTCGCAACTTCTAACACAAAAACCAAAATTGAACTACAAACATTTCGCACAAAGTTTAAATTTGCAATTTTCAAAACATTCGAAAACGATTTATAAATACAAATTTGCAATATTATAAGTAATAAAATACAAATAATATTGATATACAAGCTCAAATTACATCACATTGTATTGGTGTTTCGTTAATTTATTTAAAAAATTAATAAATATTTTTTTTATTTAAAAATTGAAATTGTATTACTTTCAATTAAAAATTGAAATTTTATTACTTTCAATTAAAAATTCAAGAAATTAAAATTTAATTTTTTTATTTCAAAATTAAAATTTAATTTCAAATTTAGCGTGTTTAGCATGGAGCATACCACGAATTAGAAAAAAAGCAGTAAAGTAAATGCATGCACACAGTTCAATTTATTAATATAAAATAAAACGAAAACAAAAAAGGTGTTGCCAAATGAATAAAAAAAGCACAAAACAAAAAAATTACAAAACGCTATGTTATTAATTAATACAGTAATTAAGTAAATATCAAAACCTTAACAATATTCATTGAAAAAAAGTAATTTTAAATTATAATTCGTAAAAATTTGCAGACAAATTAAAAAGAAAATTGCTTATTAGAATTTAAAATATTATTTACTTTTTAAACTTGCGTACATTGGCACACTAAAGCATTAAAAAACAATTTTTAGAAATATAACAAAAAAAATCGAAAATTTCCAAATTTTGAACTATACAACGCTTAAAGCGGCACTAATAAATACAGTTATTTATATTTTTACTATGCTATTGTTTGTTTAAACATATGGCTATCTGTAATATTGACTATTATTATTTTTTTTTATCAAATTATGAACTAAACTATTATTTTTGAGGGTGGGTTACAATATTTGTTTAATCACCATGTTTATATATGAACATTTTTTAAGTTTTATTTTGTGTGTTTACGTTAAAAGCATAACTAAAATACAAAATAAAAAAATAAAAATAAATAAATAAAGAACCAACCGATAAAACCACATACAAAGAAAAATCGGCAAAAACAAAATATAATATACAAAATGAAACGTAAATGAAATCTCTACATACATACATACTTACTTTTTTAGTAAGCTGTTTAAATGCTATAGAGCAGACAAAGCAAAAAGAAAGAAAATGTGAAAAAGCGCAAATATTTTTATTTCTTATTTTTACAAGCGAAGAAACAAATATAAATATATATAAAGTAAACATTGAATAAATAAATAAATAAAATTATTTAACAAATGGTAATGTAACACGGATTTATGTAAGAAATAAACCAACAACAAAAATTATAATAGTCGTTTATTTTAACTGTAAGTAAACAGCAGGGTTGCAAATACATATTGCAATAAAAAAATAATTGAGTTAACACTATATTTTTTTTTTTGTAATTTCGAAATCCTATAAAAAATTGTTTTTAAATTTTGATTCCCAAATAAGAAATTAAAAAAATATTTAATATTTAATCCCAAATTCCGGATTGAAAACAATTTAAAACCAAACTTACAATGAAAAACAAAAGAAATTTCAATTAAAATTTAAAAGGGGCAGTTTAAAATCGAAAATTTAATATTCAATTCCAACATCTTGGATCAAAAGTTAAATTTTCAATTTTTAATCCCAAAATCGGAATTAATTTTTATTGAAAACATAATAACACTGGTTAACAGTTATAAAAATTTTGTCTTAATTAAAGCATAAGAATAAAATATGTGTTCCTAAATATGTGTTTTGAAAAAAATACTGTTGACGATTACAAATCGGTCTTCTGGTTACCCAAAACAATTTATCTTGTTGTAGCGGTAGAATCATGCCGAGTTGACAGTCCTTGGCCGGATAAAAATCCGGCTTCGGCTACGTAGACCCGACAGGTGTGGTCACGGAAACGGAAAAAACAATTTGTCGTGGATGCTGCCGCAATCGCGCCTTTGTAATTAATTTTTGAATACAGTAAAATCATAAAAATCCTACAGATTTTCGATTAGCCGCTTCCCAACAAAAAGCTTTGTACTCTCATAGCAAACGCTCTCGAGAAGCAAGCGCCTAAAAGTGTGCATATTTTCTTTAAAAAAAACATGCACCGATCTCATGTGTCAAAAAAGTAAGTTTCAGTAATACAATTCTTAAGCATTCCCAAGTACCGTTAGCATGTAATCACCATTTCAATATTTATTAACAACAACAACGACATTTCTCATTCAATTTTACTTTATTTCTTGGATTTGGATTTAAACCATAAAACATCTATTATACAATTATTGCTCATCGCGTAGGTATATTATTACGGGTATACAAATTACTACATTCATATACAATATATTTAATCAATTAATTTTTTATATTGACCATCGTTTGGTATACTTACATAAGGAAGAATTAAGTTTAATATTTTTGGTTATTGTTGTAATCTATATCTGTGTAGCGCACCGATTATTACATGTTGCACATATTTGTAATGTTAAGTGGGTGAAAATCTAGATATTGGATTATTAGGAGCCACATAACCTTACTGCAGTGGAGTAGATTGCAAAAAAGTATAATTGGGAAGGTCGTAACAGTTAGAACCATCGATATGTAAAAACATATCACTTCATGGTATTAGAAGATTTTTTAAAAAAGGTTAAGCAAATAGGACTAATTGCTAGTTTTCTGGACGCGTTTTATAACTACGTGTACCATAATTGCGATGGTAAACTTGTCAGTCCAGTGGAGTTTTATAAATCAGAATTGCCTTCGCACGTTCGTGAATGTTGGAAATTGGCATAGAGTATAGCTATTCTATGTTAATACTCCACAGTCCACTGAGTCGTCATTCCCAGCAAACTAAGAAAAAACAGCTTGTGGCGGCAGTGAATACCTCAGTATAAAAAATTATGTTTCTGCTACCATGTGGACAACTAAACAGAAAGGAAATTGCAAAATTGTGGTGCTTGAACTTTGTGTATACATATATTTATATGAAGCATACATCTAAAATAAAAACTACAATATTTATGTATATTGAATACAAATCTTAACATGTCCATATTTTCCGAATTTCGTAGAAATCACTTCGAGACCTTAAATATCATTTTATTAATAAAATTCTTTGATAACATCATTCAAGGTCAGTTTTAAATTTCATTACTACGTAATAGTAAGAAATACTACCATATAATTAACGACGGATGTATGTATGTAGATGAGTTGTAATATCCAGCATAGTTTATAAACTACATTTAAGTTTTGAGCATGATTGCAGTTTTTTGTAAAAATCTTTATATTGTTTTAATAAATATTCATTATCATTTCATAAACTTGATATTTTGCTAAAAATTTGTGTTGTTCAATATGTAGTTGTATTAGCTCAAAATTTATGTGTAGTTGCATATAAATTTTATGAACAATTCATGTTTACAGTTTCCATTTTGTTATTTATTCTGCTCTACTCTGGTTTGTATTGGTGTTATAGGGTTGCTCATGCTGTTGCTGCTGAAAGCAGAATATATTAGATTCGAATTTAAAAACAAAAAATTAAATTAAATAAACATGTGTTTTTATGTATGTGTATGATTATATGAAATTGAAAAACTGCTTCTTGACAATAGTTTTGCTTCCGTTTGGAAGTAAAAAAAAACTTCTCAGCCTCCCGATAACTTTACTTGCGTTTGCAGCGTAAGCGTTTCAGTTGTTTATGGCAAGAACGTTAGTGGCATTCATATTTGCATTTGCATTAGCCTTTATAATGGTTGCTTTTGCGATATGCGTTTAATGGATGTTGTGTTTTGGTTTGTTACTACTAGCGTTGCCACTTGCAGCCGCATTGTCAACTCATTTCTTACCGGGAGGCTGTAGCGGTTGGCCGCGTTCTTTTCCACGTAATTTTATGCCAATCACACGTTCAATCTTGCCCAGAATTAAGTTATTAGGAATGCCTCGGCCTGCTTCATAATCCGTGACGACCTGTTGTTTTTCACAAATTTTCTATATGAAGGGATATATTTATTAAAATTACATGAGACCACTCCGAAGTTATATGTACTCACAGTAGCCAAATCCTTCTGACTAAGACCTTTCGACTGACGACCCTGCATTATCAATTTGCCAACGTCTAATGGAATTTTATCATGTTTTAACTCTTCAGTCTCACGATCCAGTTTGGCAGTGTTTTTTGTGGTTATATGTTGTTTGTTGGTGCCAGCACCATCTAATATAAAGAAAAAAGTAAACATGAAAGTGATTCTAACAAATATATATTTTAAATCAATTAAATAGAGGGTATTTATTACCAAGACTTATGCCTTTCATAACGGAAGTAATTCTCAGGACTATTTTTATACTGTTACAACTTAAATCGGCCTGTCAGGAGAAACGACAGCTTTTTACATTAACACAGTACTCACCACACGCACTTTTTAGAGAAATGTTTATTTTTAAGCCGTTTTCATAAAATATACAAGAAAGAAATAATTTCCTTGTACATCATATCATTCATAAAAACCAATTTACTTGGTAGCAAAAATAGCGTGAATAAAAATAAACATGATATAAATAACGTAAAAATTCGATTTGTCTACCACACACGAAATATAAGTGTGATAAAGTGTGGCAGGCGAGAGCGCTGTTTCACGACTATCTGATGACTTTTTAACTTGTAATTGCATACTATGATGAAAATGACAAAGTTAAAGTGCAAGTATTGTGAAATTGGAAGCATGCTATGCGAGATAGATCAAAACAATAACACTTAGCACCGGAAAACCACTCGGCAACTGCAATAAACATACACATGTTTTAATATACATATTCAGATACACCTCTAAATATACATATGTATATCGGACATCTCATTTATAGAATTGCGTAAAACTTGTGCTTTTCGCACAAATCGGTTTATATAAATATTTAATTAAGAAAACTGTGCCATAAACTCACTAAAGACGTGTCATTATAACGAATTAACTCACATTTTTGTGTTGTTTCCACGGGTACTCCTTGTCGTCTGGCATGATTAACCACTGTTTCTGATTTAGCCGCACTACCCTTGGGCGCCTTCTTGCGCAGAACAGTAACTGTGTCCCAATCAGACATCTTCTTTTGTTTCTATTACAACGTTAAGTAAAATCGATTGCTTTCTTCAAACTTAAAGCTCCTATAAATTGAGATATGTGTCGAAATATCTACTTGAATTTTTTCTTTCCAAATATTCTACATATGTTGATTAAAATCAGCAAGATAAAAAGTCGGCATATAGAAAATTTGGTTAACTATATGCTACTTACACTTTTAATAGAAAATAACAAATTGTTTATATAGATTTAGTTCAAAACTTTCTATTAGCAAAGTATTTTTCGATTCCAGAAAAATCCGAATAAATTGTGACGAACTTTACCTACGTTTTCGTTTGACAGTTTATTTAGTGTGATTTTTCGTTTCGATATTGCCAGGTCAAAGTACGATTAAGTGCATGTGGTCGAGTGACATTTGATCTAAAAGTAACCGAATCAAATTATCTTTGAATTATTTGTATAATGGAATAAAAAATTCGAAATGTATGGTTTTAATGAAAAAAATTAATGTAGTCTGTAATTGTCTGTTGTGTTTTAATACAACTTTGATATTTGTTGGTTGTTTGTAAATTTTTTTGTAAACTATATAAAATATCTGTTTTATTAAATCTTTCCAAATCAACCGTGAGTTTTTGCGGTTTGTTTCGCTGACATTCGTTTGAAAGAGAGAGAGATAAGTATATAACATTTGTGATGTATCTTCGAATGCACTGTAAAACGAAACAATTGGACAAAGTGAAATTGGAAAATTGTCTCAAACGACGAAGAACGACGAGTTGATGCAGACGAATTTAATAATCGCTGCATATTTGATTTTTTGAAACCTCAATCAAACATTATAAATTCTATTGGAATTGAAAAAAGTGAGTAACTTTTAAAGGCAAATTTTTTTGCTACTTAAAGCGCGTTTTTCTCGGATTGTGCGGGATTGTTCCCATGCAGTGCAGTCGCACATAGATTGAAGTGCAAGTGCATAACAATAAGCAAATGTTTGCCATATAAAAAATTTTGTCCACAAATGATTTTGTTGGCCTGTGCAAACATAAAAGATACAAAAACCTACAGCGAAGTAAAATTTATATTACATGAAAATTATAGTAGTGAAAAAATACCTTTAAGTTTTAAAGTCTTTGAAAGGCCTCTATAATTCAAAGTCAAAATTTTGCTACATAGCAATAAATCTGGTGTTATAAAGAGGTTGGGTGCAGACAAGTTGCACTTGCATATAGGTAGGGCGTGTTTTTCTTATACGCGTCGCCGCCGATAACGACAGAATTTTTGTATATAATCTAAATGGCTAAAGAAAAATATAAATATACCCATAAAAATCGGTGTAAACTTGTCTAATCAGAAATGTTTATTTTTTAAAAAAGGGTATAAAATAAATATTTGCCGATAAATGGAGAGTTCCACAAAGTAGAGAAGAAAAATAATTGCAACTTCCCTTTTATAGGCATTTTATGTCTACTACAAAGTGCGAAGTAACGTAGAAAAGGCGAATTGAAAAAAGCGTAGAGTAGTGGAAAGTGAGTGTATAATCAAAATGTGTAAGAAATCTTTATATTAAAGGGCAATTTGTATACATAATGTAAAACAAAAAATGTATGTAAGATAAAAGAATAAATATACAATCGTTTTATATAAATGCCGGAAGTTATAAACGTGTAAAGGAAATTGGAAAAAGCGCCGCACTTCCGTCTGCGGTTGGCCGGAATCGTCACGAATTTCGGGTTCGGAAGCCAATATTATTGGGTCTTGTGCACACGCCCACCTAATTGGGCAAAACCTTGAGCTACGTCGTTTCATTCATCTGAAACTGAACTAAAGTGTTTGACCACTAAAGCTCGAAGTCAAGCTTAAAGCGTATAATCTTTCCTCGATATAGTTACTAAGTTGGCAATATGGGCGCACAGCAGGGAAAGGAGCGCGGTTCACATTCCAGCGGCGGTGGCCATGGCGGCACGGCCAGTTGTATTGGTGTGCCAAGTAGTGGCAGCCCAGTCGGCTTGTCGTCGTCTCACGGCATTAGTGTTGGCAGTGTAAATGCACTAGCTGCTGGTTCCACCTTGCGTGGCTCCCGCATCAAATCGTCAGCCACACCAGCATCTGTGGGTGGGAGTTCACATCGTTCGACTACAGCTTCGGGTAGTAGCATTGGACATACATCTAAGGACAATCACAGCCGTTGCAATGCCATCGGAATGAACATTTTCACAGAACATAATGGTGAGTTTCCGTGCCGGCCCGGCAAAGGTGCATTGTACTTGTAAGTTATAAATGTACAAACGTACGCGTTTAGCTACATTTTATTATAATTCTTATTGTCTACTGTGTTCATGTTACTTTCTATTTTGTATTTGCGACTTTCGCTCCTCTTTATATGGATAACCAACTAAATGCTGTATTTTTTCCACAGCTTTTATGCGGGTGGCATATTGTGTCTAGGTTTTATTATGAAATAGGGTGGATTTTTTGCTAGCAGCTGTTAGATATGTTTGCCGGCCATAATTGCACCACCATTGTTTGAATGCCTCTTGCCGGGTTAGCTGCCTACCACTGAAGGTTGCTATAAGTACGTACATGCATACATATGTACATTTATAATGCGCGTGGGTGCTTTTCAAAAGATTACATGATGTAAATGTCTCAAACAATTTTCATAATATATGTATGTACATATACAGCTGTGTAAATATATTTTCAGATAATTTTAATATATTAATAAAAAGTATATCCAATTATTTGAATACATTTTTAACATAAGTAATTAGAAAATAAGAAAAAATACGAATTTCGGTTGAGATCGATACAAACAGACGGACATGGCTAAATTAACTCAGCTCGTCCCGCTGATAATTTATTATACAATAATTTGTAGAGACTCCAACATTACGTTCTGGGTGTTACAAACTTCGTGGCCCCTGATCAGAGTATAGTAAAATAAATATAATTTTAATATTTATTTCGACTTTTTACATTCTTAAATATACACAAAAAAATATTGCACAACTTTTCTGCTGATATAAATCTTAATTAGTCACTGTCATCTGATTTTTCTTCCATTGCTTTTGGAGTTATAGTCTTAAATAACTCGTTTTATTGTATAATTTATTATTAACTTCAAACAAGAAGCATGCTTTGGTGGCAAACATTACAACCACTCACCAATTGTCAATTGAGGGACGGACGGTATAAAGCTAACACTTTTAAATTTATATGGACTAACATACATACATACATAAGCATACGCACATATTATATGTATAAACAAGCATCTGGTTATATATTTATATCTCTTATATATGTATGTATATACCTAAATATATACATATAAACATTTAAAATTATTTTTGCATCCACATATTCCAACTTCACACTCGCCCTCTTGTGGTCGCATTCTTCGCTGCATATGCTCTTTGCACTTCATACGCCTTTGTTGTTGCCCTTCATCATGTGGGTGGGGTTGCTTCGTACTCTTTGCTTGCTGCTGTTGTAGTATTTACAAAATTACATTTAAATTTCCAAACGAAACACGTCGCCACATTTTATATTGATCAGGAAAAGAAAGCAAATGGCAACGAAGAAATTAAATGCATACTAACACACAGACATTTGTACGTGTATATCATCGCCGACAGTAATTTCAATAAAAGTAAGCTGCATTTTTCATACAAATACCCAGGGGATGGTGTTTCTGTAAAATTCCCTACCTACTTACTAAATAAATAACTATACACATAAGTTTATGTGTGTACATAAAGCTGCCTAGAGTATAGTCATCACTTTTATATTATTATATCTCTGCCGGAGATGATATTAGTCAAGCTCCGGAAGGCATTTTACGCATTTACGCATTTTATTTCATTGACACGTTTCCCGAAAATGACCTTTTATTGCCTTATCCGGCGTTTATCGCCAACGGCTGCACGACATCACGGCATAGTTGTGCTTTAGCGTACCGCCATAGGGTTACAAATAAATGCATTCAATCGCATCGAGTCGAACCATATTTGGTTCATACGCTACCCATATAATTGTAAAAACCCATCAAGCGTGCACAAATTGGTTTCAAATGAGGCCACTAAAGCGCTGTGAAGACCCTTCTACGCTCAGTGAGCTTGAATTCCTCACAAAGTTCAAAAATATAATTGCAATTAATGGAGCTAGCTGCCATCAAACATATTTATATTATATACACTTTCCTATTTATTCTATATATATATATATAATACATATTTTATGATGGTATTTGAAAATCTGTAACCGGCTTTTTTTCTATTAGGAATAACAAGCACATCCTATGAGCAAGCGCTCCAACAACAGCAATGTCCTACCGCAATTGAAAAAGTTATGTGTTTTCGTGTACTTTATTAATAATTCGCTGCTTAAATAGAAGAGCATATGGTTATTTAAAAATTGTATAAGTACACCCATGTTATATGCGCCTATTGTGGCTTGCGCACATTTCATTTGAAACTCAGTAGAACTTGAATCAAAGTTGAAAATTTCTTCAATATACAAGTCCGTATATACTATGCATATGTATCTTACTTGTTAAGTGGCTTCATCTGCCTTCATTATTTTAATTTCCATTTCCACTTTTTTTTTTTATATATAAAGGCCTCGAGGCTTGCCTCTTTTTTATAGCATATCTTTCACTCATATCTGTTGTGTGCCGCATTTGCGTGACAATTACTTGGTTGAAGTGTCGCTGTGGACCTTGAGCACAATTTGTTTCGATTTATTCGCGCATATGTTTTGCAAGGCAAAATGCCATGAATTATATTTGTATGAAAGTGATTTCCATATCAAGTGCCTTAAGTATAGGACAGCGAGAATGCTGTATTGTATTCACTTGGTTTTTTCTTTTTTTTAATTCAGTTTTATTTTATTATGTAACGTAACTTTTTGTATTCTATTATTTATTACTTTTTTCATTCCGACCAGTTTAGTTTAATTTAATTAATTTAATACATTTTTTTTATTGTACTTTAAATTTTATTTATTATTAACGTGGTTAAATTCGAATAATTTTTGTGACAAATAAATAATATATTTCAAAAATCGTTTCCCACACACATTCTGTGAAAAATATTAATACAAAAAATTGAGCTTCCCTTATGTTAGCGCAAAATATATGTACATACATTTATTTATGTAGTTCATGTATGAATATTTTGCTTTTTTTTTACATTTTTTAAGCCGCTAACCAGCTTATCGCATTGGAGCCTCATTACACTTATGTTATATACTTGTTCCAATCAAGTTAAGTAGCAAATAAGTACCCAGTGCGAATTTTTTTAATAATATTAATAAAAATATACACAATCTGAACAAATTCGATTCGGACTAGTCCAAACCGAATCAATAGATCCTAGATTGGTACAACAAATTTTTATGTTCGTGTGAAGTTTCACATCCATATATCAATTACTGTGTTTGACAGCTATTTGTTTACGAAAAGTTTGTCTGGCGATTTTTATCATAGAAAAAAATTGAACAACGGGTTTGTTTTAAACTTTGTGTTTGACGTCGACGTAGTTTTTTCCCAGTCCGGAACAAATTTGATCAGATGATACAATAACTTTAACGAAGAGCCCCAAAAACTTATTTGAATTTCTTCACGTTCATTAAGTTTTAAAAATAGAAAAGTCTTTTAAACTGAAAACTCATTTTAGCTCTGGTGATGATAAAGCTCATGAATTTTTTGAACTCCCTTTAAATGAATATACCTATTAAACAAAGGAATTTCATTAATTACCACACACAAAATACCATCTATATAATGTATAATTGAAAAATAATTATATGAGATAGTTGTTTGAAGTTTATTAACTTGTATATATATATATTTGAATATAGTTGCTTTTAGCCGTAATTTTTCGAAGTTTTTCCAATTTTTTATTTTCACATTATTTTCTTATAGGGCTTACGTAAATAAAAATATAAACTTAAATACGTTTTATATGTACATATATCATAGGTTTTTGCAGTTTTTATTGTTATTTATTTCCTTTTTTAAAGTAACTTCGCACAATGGGAGAGTGTGGTTAAATCAAAAATATTGTTATTTCCAAAGCTCGATTTTATTCTATTGTCTTTGCTTTTCATATGTTTTCAAATTTGCATATTTATTAAACAATATTTCTCTTAAATGTCATATACATGGATATACATATGTACCTCTATTTGTATGTCTACATCAATTTGACATTTGTAAACATATGTACTTATACATACATATGTCAATACTAACTTTTCTTATAGGCAAGTAAATATCTATTTGTCGTTGTCATTGGGTGCTTGGCTATTCCATTTTATCGTGTTGTGTTTGCATTTCCTCTTTCCTGTCATTCGTGTCGTCATCAATGCTGATTCATGTTTTCCGCGTAACAATTAAAAATTACAATAATCACCTTTTGATGACTGCCGGCCGTCTGAGTTCTATGTTTTGGCACAAATTGTCGTGTTATCCGCCCTTCTCCCGCAAGTCATTATTACATGTTATCACCATAGCGAACAGAAGTGGGCTTGTCATTAGAATTTCTAATTATGTGAATTTCTTGTGCTTAATTAATACGAAGACACGAAACAATACAAAACAAAATAATAATTTTTGTTTTGGCGTCCGCAGGCGCGGGATATATGTAGATCTGATATTTTAGAAAATATAATATTTGTTTACATTTTTCATTCCAATATACACACATGTAGAAATGTACTTATATATGTGTGTGTGATATTATCATCTTAATTCTTAAAAACTTTCACTCAATGCCCAGTATTTAGTTTGCGTCTATAAGTCCACATGCTTAAGTATTTTCAATTGAAACCATTTTCTTTTCATGATATACCGTTTTCAATTATTAAAAATATTAAATTAAAATATTACAACAAAATTTTTTTCATAAAAAAAATCTTTATAATTATAAAATTTTAAAAATTTAAAAGAAAAAGTGGAATATAATTTTTATTTTTATTTTTCCATGTTTCAAAAATTAAGCAACAATACTGAATGACGGAGAATTTCACCTAGGATGACTCATGACTTTTTTAAAATAACTCAAAAATGTTCGGTGTTGGAAATTTAAAAATACATATGTCTTTACTATATTGCATCTTTTACATAACTGAAGCGAATAATAAGTTGAAATTTATAAATTATTTACAAAACATTTTTCAGAAAAATTAAAAAAAACCTTAAAACTTACTCTTACAGGTATGTT